GTCTCTTCCATCTTTTTTGTGCTGATATGACAAAAATATGTCTTTTACAAGCTTGTACCAACAACTGGCAACAGATTGTTTTCTGTTTCCTTTAGAGTCCCTTAAACAGCCTGACTGCATCATGCCTGCCTAGCTTTAGACATCAGTGGAAAAAACATCCTTTTATTCTTTAAGCGCGTAACAAAAGTGATATTTTTATACCTTTAATGTTTTTCACAAGTAAATCAAAATTATTAAGCATTCAAGTACTACATTTACTTGAAAATTTGTCTTTGTAAGGCATAAAAACCTTAATTTTTTTAAACAGTTTGCCAGCAGGACAACATTTGTATCACAATTTTAGATGGCCTTGTCTGAATGAGAACGATCACTGTATTTTACAGGTAGAGAAGCAGAGAATCAAAATTTGGTTTGTGAAAGTCAGAAGTCTGATTATTTTATAGAGTTATGCTTTCTAATTCTTCTTTATACTTTGCAACTAACTGCAAATCTAAGTGGCAGAATTCCATTAAACACAGTTTCACATTGTCACAACATTGAGAAGAGAGAATAATCTTATTTTACCTGTATATCCAAAGATTTTACTGGCGTAGAGAACAAGTTTAAGACGGGTTTAGAAAAGATACACTGAAAACTAGCGCTTCAGCTGCCACATCACGACATGCACAGAGGCCCATAATACAATAATTGGTCCGAGATGCTCGTGTACCTTATTGCCTTTGAGCATCTCTTATTGACTTAGATACTTCCAGTATCATGTCTCCCTTGAAACACGCACAGTCACTCGTGCTGCCGCACACTCTCACCAGCAAGGACTCACAGCTTCTCCTCCTCCCTCCATCCTAAACACCCAATTAGCAGCCACACCTGGCCACCTGCCTCCAATCAGAATGGAGTGACTGTTTCCATGGTAGCGAGCGATGAGCAAATCCAGATGCAGATGGGGGGTCAGGGATGATGGATGAAACAGAGAGTGACTTTGTGCACTGATGACAAATAGATCTGGAGTTTGAGCATCGTCTGCGGGAACAGAGGGTTGTAACTAAATTTGGAAAACTACAAAGTAGAATGAACTATTCTAAAAGGATACATAAATGAAACAGTGCAGCAAAGTTTTACATATTATTTCAAGGTCGAGCTGTAGAGCAATATATTTTAACTTGTAAACATTGAAGGCCCTAGATAAATAATTTTACCATAGAGTGAGAAATTAAAAAATGTACTTTTTAAACCCCTGGTATGCTTTGAAATGGAAAACTAGTGTGTGCCTACTATATAACAAGCTTGTCTTGTTGTTTAAATCAGTAGTTCCCAAACTGGTGTCCCCTGACCCCCGGGGGTCTGCGAGCTGGTGCTTGGGGGTCCGCAAAAGTTTTTTTTTTTTTTTTTTTTTACTGGCACATAGATGTTTAACAACCCATTAAAATACACCAAAATGCAAGAAATCGCATCTGCTTTATTCAAAAATTTCTGAGGAAGGACCCTCAGACACCCATCCATCTATCCATCCATCCGTCCATTATCTTTACCCGCTTGTTCCATTTTGGGTCACGGGGGTCGCTGGTGCCCATGTCCAGCAGTCACTGTGCGAGGGGCGGGGTACACCCTGGACGGGTCGCAAGTCCATCACAGGGCCACAGAGAGACAAACGAGACAAACAACCATTCACTTTCTCATTCACACCTAGGGACAATTTAGAGTTACCAATCAGCCTAACATGCATGTTTTTGGTCTGTGGGAGGAAACCGGAGCACCCGGAGAAAACCCACGCATGCACGGAGAGAACATGCAAACTCCACGCAGAAAGGCCCCTGGACTGGGGTTTGAACCAAGGACCTGCTCACTGAGAGGCAGCAGCTCTACCAGTTGCGCCACCGTGCTGCCCCTCAGACACCCCCACCTGCTATTTTCAATTTAATTCAGTTTATTTATATAGCATCAAGTCACAACATAAGTCGTCTCAGAGCACTGAACAGAAACATTTATATATAAAATAATAAGTTAACACTATTTATCTGAGGAGCAGGCTGCTTTGAATTTAACTCCATCACAGAACTCTCATCTTGAGCAAGCATGAAGGCGACAGTGGAAAGGAAAAACTCCCTCATGAGGAAGAAATTTGCGTTCTGGCATTGATCGGTTTACAAAATAATCCCGGTCATTTGGTATGACTGCTGCTGTTGAAGAAGTAGCAATAGATTTATGTTCAGTACGTGTGAATAGGTAAAGTTTTTTAAAGTGGTTTTTGATACTGTTAATGTTCTGAAAATGTAGTTTTTGGAAGTTGAAAAAAAAAAAGTTAATTAAGTGTGTCTTGAATGAAAAATACCCCATGTTTAAATGTATAAAAATTGTATTAACATAATTAAAGAACAGATCTTAAGTATTTATGTTACACAAATATTTCTATTGCATTAAAGAGACAAATTGAAGACAATTATTTAATAAACATGAGGGTTAGGAGGGGGTCCTTGTTTTTTTTCTTCTCCACTGTAAGGGGTCTCTGAACTCAAAAAGTTTGAGAACCCTTGGTTTAAATGTCTTCTTTTTAAAATAAAACAAAAACATCAGGGTAGGAAAATATTTGCCACAATTTTTATAAACATTTAAATTCATCCATATTGCCTATTATTGGTATTATTTTAGTAAATATTCACTTAAAAATGAAATATTCTGTGGAAACTGGTAACAATAGCTGAGGCCTGCAGAAGCAACCTACCTGTAGACCAGGAGTGTATGTTTCAGAGACACGTGCACGCATCATTTGATTTGGTCAATCTATCACATTTCTTCTTTGAACTTTTGTCATTTTACCACATCTAACCCCTACCCTGGCTACTCACCCCATCAGAAACTTCTATTACAACAAAGAGAAAACCACATCTTTCATCACCAACTGATTTCTATTTAATCAATAAAGCACCAAAGAATTGCTTTGTGCCTCATACCCAGATAGCTTTTTTTTTTTTTTTTTGATTGACAGAAACGGTTATACAATGATGAGGTAATTTGATTGATTTGATCCTAAAAAGAACCACTTTGAATGACAGGAACAAACAAATCCACCAATTCTGAGAGACTTTAAAAGACCCTTTGTTTTGTTTTATAATTAGGTCCGAAGGCTTCACGAAAGTGACGTTCTGTCACTTTTGCCTTCCGCATGTTCTGCAGCTGTTGTCAGCTGTCAGGGTGACTTCCATTCACACAGAAAGTGCTTTCCTAAAAACATTTAACTCTGCGTGTGTTGTGTGCAAACAATCCGTCGATACGTTTTCTAGAGGAGCATCCTAAATTGAGACATTTTGTTCATCCTGTCTGATCAGTATTGTGCACTGCGAGTCCCTTTGTGTTTCTTCAGCTGAAAGTCAATTCCCCGTCAACGCTTTCCTCATTTTTTTATCAATCCGCGAAGGCTTAGCTGAGCACACAAGCTGTGTTTCTGCATCACCTTGCTTTACATTTACACAGTGATTCATGCCGCTCCACTGGGAGCTTCCAAGTACAACAGGCTACTGAGCAGCTCCACTGGAGCAGATGGGATTAAGGGCAAAGGCTGTTCGCTAACTTGTGCCCTTTTTAGGTTTTTATTTACATTCAGCTCAAATTCAGTGAAGCAACAAATGGAGCAATGCCACGGTTCAGGCGAAGCAGCAAAGTCACGCTCACTCCACCCGCTTGGCTTCAACTTTTTTTTTATTTTTTTATTAAATAAATGAAACCTTTTCATTTTTTTTCTAATTAGTAAGCTCAAATTACTTTGATGGAGACTGGTGTGTTTCTTACAAACATTAGTAACTCTTTCCAACTTTTTTTTTTCTGGATGTAAATGGCTTTTTTCAGATGATTACTTCCTCTGGTATCAGATGATGGGCTGCTGGAAGTTATCTTTACTGTAACCTTTTTTACTTTTGGACATTTGTTATGATGCATAACCATAACAACAAGGTGGTTTTCTACAACTGGAGACTGCTGATTGACATCCCAAAAGCACAAATAATATCTCAGCTATAGCCCCAAATCTCAAATGAGTTGAAAAGGAGGTGCCATGGAGCCATTACCATCTACCTGGCGTGCCTGACTGCCAAGATCTTGGAGGTAGCAGGAAATGCGGCTTGTGACAGCGGGAGGACCAAGATCATCCCTCGGCACCTGCAGTTAAGTCCGCAGTGATGAGGGGGTCAGCAGGCTGCTGGGAGAATTAGCCATCTCTTGGGGAGGAGTTCTGCCCGGCATTCAGGCAGTCCTGCTGCCCAAGAGGACTGAGAGGTCTGCTGGGTCTGGGTGGACGGATCGACATCTGCAGCCAGTTTCTTTGGATCCGCTGTGGGACAGACCGGTACAAGAGATCCTTCAACAGGGCTATTCAACTGGGGGCCCGCGGGCCAGAAATGGCCTCCTGGGCGGTTTTGTTGAGTAGCCCTGATCTATCCATCCATCCATCCATCCATTTTCTTTACCCGCTTATTCCATTTTGGGTCACGGGGGTCGCTGGTGCCCATGTCCAGCAATCACTGTGCGAGGGGCGGGGTACACCCTGGACAGGTCGCAAGTCCATCACAGGGCCACATAGAGACAAACGAGACAAACAACCATTCACTCTCTCACTCACACCTAGGGACAATTTAGAGTTACCAATCAGCCTAACATGCATGTTTTTGGTCTGTGGGAGGAAACCGGAGCAGCCCTGATCTAGAACAACTCTAATGAAACCAAGATGAGCTACAACAACAGTGAATTTCCGTTTGGGATTAATAAAGTATTCTTGAATTAAATTGAATTGAATCTATGTATGAATGTTGAGATAAATTATCTACACAAATAAAATGTGTATATTTTAAGTTTCAAATTTAAACAACATACTTTTACAGTTTTTTTTTTTTTAAGAAGCAGCTTAAGACATACTGTATTGATTTTCTCCATTGTTGTTATCCAGTTGTTTCTTATGTTGGTCCAAAAATAAACTTTGTCTTGCATCTGTCTGTGTTTTTGCTCTTCTCCAGTATCTCCATCTTTGGCACTGGTGCCAAGTGGCTGGCTGTGCTGCAGGAGAGGAACCTCAAACCCTGTGAGTTGTAGTCACATGTACAATGTTGCACATGTGCACACGCATAAAATGCACAAACTGTTCGCAGACATGATTATAATTAGGAGGTTTTCAGATGAATACTTATGTTTATTTTAAGGAATAGACTCCAGAACTATGCTGACAATAATAGTTCTGTGTGACACATAATGTTCTTTGTTTGATTTTGCAGTACGTTATTTTCACAGTTTGAGTCATTATCTTTTTTATTTGTAAAAGTACGACAATCTCTACAACTAATCAGCAGTTTGCTAGTACCTAATATAAGTAATTTCAAATATTGTACATTTTATGAACATTAGTCTGACAAATTGCTTGTTATCAATGTTCTCTCCTTTAGATTCTTTTGAAGTATTTTAAAACTAAAACATCAAAGTTCATGCTCGGTAGTCCAGGTAAAAATTCAATAATGTTTAGTCCGGTCATCTGGACGGTTTCTTTTTTTACCGACACATTTCGTCCTTCATCCAAAGGACTTCATCAGTCTGAGGAGCCACAAACAAACTGAGTCCCACAAGCAGCACACTCCCATAGTGGGGACAAAACAGTTTGCTGGTAATAAGATGGTTTCTGGGGCCCACTGTCTCCCCCATCAACTCCTCTGAGGCAGCCAGGCCAAAGTGGTTCTAAACATCAAAGGTCACGCTCCATAATCCAGGTAAAAATCCAACAATTGGACTGATGAAGTCCTTTGGATGAAGGACAAAACATCTCAGCCAAAAACGAAACCATCCAGATGACCTGACTGAACTTTATTAAAACTCAAACTGTTTTTGTCAAACATTGAGGCTGTGGCCAGAGCGATTGTTGAACATCTATATTACTGTAGGAGCAATATTTTTGGGGAAAAAAGAGCAAAGAGCTAGTGTAACATTTAATGAGCTAAATTTTAGACTAAAGCATAGAAAACAGAGTTTTAACACGTGGAGTCAAAGATAAAGTCATTGCTCAGAGACGTTTAAAACAGACTTTTAAAGTTACTTATTAAAGTGTCCATTTGGTGGCCTTGTAGCTGTGGACAGACTGCCAGTTCTGAGCAGTCATAGGACCAGTTAGGAACTGGTTCCTGCCCTAACCTGAGCCTGCCACTGGAATCAGTTTTGTATAAAACTCCTAAAAGGCGTCACTCCTGTTTTGTCTCCTGCTTTTGTCTGCCCCTCTCCGAGTCATTTTATCCAGCTAGCACTGTGTGTGTGTAAGTGAGCTTTTATTTTCATTAGAGTAAGTGAGCGCAGCAAAAGGACATGTTTGTGGTTGTTCATATTTGATTCTTTTTTGTGTGTTTGTATGCATGTATAAGCCTTTTGGGCCAGGGAGGATAGAGTAAGCTTCTTCCCTGGCTGTCCCAGTGGAGAAGCCCTTTTCCCTGAGCTGACATTTGGACTGGACACCTGGAGGCATGATGGGGGGTCACAAAATGTCCAACTGTGTATGTCTGTGTGTGTGCGCGCATGTGCTTATGTGTTGAGGGTCGGTTGCTGGAAGCTTATTAGTCAGGGTGTTATTGGCATGCAGTGTGCATGCATGCTCTGTCACATCAGGGCAAAAAAATGTAATAACGCTACATGTTAGGGTGCCAGGAGGCACAGGTGTTCACAGGTGCATGCCCACTTTTTGTGTATGCATTCATAATTTGGTTAAAAACGCTGCTTTCTGTGTCTGGTTTTGTTACACTGGCATCTTTTATGTGCAATTTACAGAACTGATTCCTGAGCAATGTGCAGGTTCTTCCTTTCTAAATTCTGTTGGACAAAAACGATCATAAATTTGTACAACTTTCTCATGTTCTTAGTTTAAATCCAAACGTGCTGCTCCAAAATGTAATTATAGTAAACAAATCTAACCAGATTGTTGTTTATACTTCATAAAATAAGAAATACTTTATAAAAATGGATCCAAACCCATGCTAATTACTGTATATGAATATTCTACACTGTATTTGCACATTATTTTTCTTCATTTATTGTAGAACTCTTTCACTTCATTGTTTAGTAACTTTTCTTGAAATTCTTTCTCCCTCAGTGGAAACACACAACCTGCAGTCTCTCCACACCATCCTGTCCACAGGATCTCCTCTCAAACCTCAGAGCTACGACTACGTGTACCGCTGCATCAAGAGCAACGTGCTGCTGGGCTCGATTTCAGGTGACTGACGCATTTATAACTCGAGGTTAAAATCTTATTTAAAAAAAACTTTTGTGTCATTCTTTAGATCTGAGACAAAAGGTGTCACAAAGATCACCCAATTCAACAATAATATAGGCAGATTTTAAATTGATTTATTAGTTCGATTTGTTTTTTTTTTCCTGAAGCACTGTTGCAAGAGTTAAAAAAATTGTATTTATACTGGACACATATAACAAACGGTTCTTTAGATAAAACGGTTGTGTCGATACTAAAATCAACTTTGTTTTAGGAGTTTAAAGGTGCAAGTTTAGGTAGATGAAGGTGTGTGAAGTTTCATGTTTTTATTCTCATCTCCACAGCAACTCCTTTATTACTTACATTTCTGTACTACAAAATGTTTGACGCTCCTGACACTAATCTGAAATACAGAAAAACAAACAATATCTGAAGTAATATTTGGTTCAAATTAAGACCAAAATATTAGTTAGTTGTTACTTTTTCTCACATACAGTGACAAAAAAACATCAGATGGTCCATTAAGTTTGTATTATTATGTATTAGCTTGTTTATAGTTAACAAACACCCAATAAAATACATTTGATGAGAGTAGTAGACAATAATGTACAAGATTCTGGAAGAAAATAAATAATTTGCATATTCAAGAATCAGTTTTCAAATTTTAGAAACCATGACCAGATATTCAAAGATTTCGAACTCCAAGAGTGCATTAGTTGCAGATGAAAATGTTACAGAAGATGGTTGCTATTCCTCCCCCCTTTACTGACTTGTGGTGCAGAAAATAAGAAGTCTTACTTTGGGTGAGTTTTGCAGACGCAGTGGACGAGAACCAGCATTTAGTGAGAAATAGAAAATGTAGACCTTTTGAGAGATAAAGTCACTAATATAAAAACCTCTGATGGAAAGCTAGCTAACATAGAGTGATTTAGGAAGATGCAGACTCAGGTCTGACTTTTGTTGCTTTTTGGGCCTGTAACAAGTATTTCATGTATTGTTTTGAAAACTGAAATGCTCAAATCCTACTTTTATTAGAAGCCATCTTCACCTGCTCTAAATCTATTTCTAATTATTTAAGAAACCTATAAAAATGAATTTACAATATAAGGCCTCTGGGATCTCTAGAACTTGTTATTCCTACTTTAGTTTAATTTTATTTTTTAATCTAAGCTTTTAAAGTCCTAATTGGTGAGAGAAAAACAAGAACTGGTGACAAAATAAGTTTTACAGCAAATGTTAAAAACTATTTGGTAATGCAATAAACAAATATTTTTGCAAGTTACACTTTTTAATTTTTTTGTCCTTTTTAATTTATATCTACATTTTGTTTAAATCTATTCTACTGAAAACTCATTGTTAAAAACATTTAAACAGAATATAATACCACTATGTTGTTTTTTTGTTTTTTGGGGGGTAAACTCATGTAAAACACAATATTTTTGTGTAGTTTGAGCTTAAAAATGTCTCACACAGTTACACTTTGAGATTTACAGCCAATTGTCAAGTCACAAATTCTGCTCAGAGAACAACAATCTTTGTCTCACCACCCTCCCTTAAACCATCTGTTTCAAATGAGTTAGTGTTTTTTTTTTTCTTGTTTTATTATAACAAATGAAAAAAAAAAGACTCAGACATTTTATTTTGCCAGCTTTCAAAACAGGCACCTCTTCTTAAGTATTTACCTACTTTATTTATATTCATCTGATTATGATGTCATGAAAAGAGTAGTTCAAGTTCAAGTTTACTGTCATTCGCATCACATGTGGTACATAAGGTGGAACAAAATTGTGTACACAGGCTCCCAGTTACACCCAACAATAGCAAAAATATAAAGTGTAAAAAGAAACGGTATATAAGGATCTAAGATAACGCTAAACAATCACCAAACAGTACGCTAAAATATCTAACATACCATATTTTCTGCCATACACATCGTTCCGCTGTACAAGTTGCATCGGTCCAACTATGTCTAATAAACGGGAAAAAAACATAAATACGTCACATCACCGTATAAGTCGCATGTATTACATGTCACCGCTGACAACCCGGAAATGTGGGCCGGCGTTGTGCCAAAAGTCAATTAGCTGCCAAATGACAGCTGCGGGAGCATGCACGAGAGAACTTTAACAAGAATTTAACAAGCTTAACCTTTAAAAATAATTATTTTTTTGCTTGAAATTATAGCAAATGTGTGTCTCAGTCTAACTTTTCCTTAATAAATGCACTCTGATGGTCAAATCAGCTGTATTTTGCTGGGGCGGTGCAGTGAAATGAAGCTGATTTGACAGTTGCTCCAGGCATGATCCCGGAGCTGGACGAGGGTTGCAAGTTGTGGCAAGCTGATTCTGTCATTAATAGCCACTTTTACCTACTACATGACACAACGGCATGCCATACTACTCAAGTGCCATCTAGCGGCTGAAAGTGGTAGTGTTCAATATTTTCAATGACAGAATGAATGAAAACGGTCATATCTCAGCCAAAAATAGGTTTATAAATATGGGGAAAAAACCACAAATAAGTCGCTTTGGTGTATAAGTCGCAGGGCATGCAAATTATGCAAAAAACGGTGACTTATAGGCCGAAAAATATGGTATACGCTAAACACTAAATGGTAAATGGACTGCACTTATATAGCACTTTTATCAAGACACTCAAAGCTCTTTACAACACAGCCTATGCCCTCATTTACCCTTTCATACAGCACTCTACTAGATCTCTACAAAGACTAATCTGTGCTTTCACATTCATACACCGATGGGACACACATTGGACTGCTGGTGGAATCGAACCCCCAACTCTTGCATTGGAGGACGACTGTTTTAACCACTCAGCCACAGCTTCCCCACTAATAATGTAAAACAATACAGCGTAACAACAGCAGCCCAAAGCTCGTAGAAGACCGAGTAGAAGCTTGGATGTTCTTCTATTTGACACAACAGAAATTGTCACTAATATAATAATATGTAAATGTTGCCATCATTGTATGTTCCCATGCAATGGCGAAATTGGCTCTCTGCATTTAACCCGTCCACCACCAGGCGGAGCAGTGGGCAGCTGCAGAAAGCGCCTGGGGAGCAACTGGGGATAATGTGTCCTTCTCAGAGACACCACGAGATGTGCAGTGACCGGGGATCGAAAGGTCCCGAGTCGGCTGCCCTGCCCCTACACCATCTCGGCCCCTACTGAAATAGTTGATGAATTTTATTATGTTAATTTAAGCAGAGATCGTTTACTTTGTTAAAGATCATCACAGGTAATGAGTTAGTTCTACATCCACAACGCAGAGCAAACAGCCATCTTCATTAAAGGTGCTGAACTTTCAAAGATTTTTAAAAAAATCGTAAAATAGGTATTTTTTTTTTATTTGTAGTGGTTTTTCCACTGTGATTTTTTTCTGCTAAGGTTCAGATTACCATCACTATTTGACTTGAACAGTATCACAGGCCATCGGTGCAGTTCTTCACAATGCATCACTGCATATGTAGGTAGAACCAATAGTCATGCTCACTGTCACCATTATCTTTTTGCTCTTTCAGAGTAAACCGTGCACACTGAAACATGCAGAATGACACATTAGACTCCCTTTCTTAGAAGCTGAAACATTTATGCCTTTCTTTTGAAACAAGCTATAAGCTCTGTGTCAGTTTAGAATTCATAAACTTGATTTCAAACCTGTTTTAACATTTATAACAATTCATTTATTATGCTAAGGTAACAACAAAGCATATGTGACACACACCCACAAAGAGCTGACACAAACAATAGAAACTTCAAAGAAAATTTATATGTAACTGTGCATTTACTTCATTTTCCACACACAGGCCCTCTGAGCCCATTGTGGTTTTGACAGTCCAGTAGCAGCCCAGCAGAATGCTATCTGTCTCTTTTCTGAGTCTTGAAACGTTTAACATTTAGCACAGCTTGGGTGACTGACGTTTTGCACACGCGTTTGTACACACACATACATGAGTTATGGCTTGGAGTGTCACACGGTCATTGTGATTGACAATCTAATGGGTGTAGCTTGTAGGTTTAAATGCACATGCACACAAGTGCACGGACACACAAGCTCACATTGACATGCAAGTCGAGAGACTGGATGCAGGCGTCAGCCTAAATGTCAATCACAAGACAGAAATCTGGAAAAGATGAAGTCGTACTTTACAAACGGATCGTCTTGGGCTTTTTGTAAAAGCATTTTTGTTTGCTTATGTTGTTGAAGTCTTTACACTTTCATATAATGCTCATACAAACACAACTTCATATAAATAAAACAGAGAACTTTATAAACCAGTGCCAATTTGTTCTTTTATACACTGTTTTTTTTTTCTACATCAGAAACCAACTATTTGCAAACCTGGTTAGAAACTGTAATGTGTTATTTAATTTTTGTATCAAACCGGAGATTACGTTTCTGCTTCAGCAGGAATTTTTCAGGTACATAGTGTTTCAATTCAACACGTATTTAAAATGTGTTTTGGGGAAATAGTTCATGAGCATCTGGCAAACGCTCACAGATGATTTTAAGCCTTAACAGCTGCAGTGACTAGGCAATTTGAATTTCATTGTAAACCACAGTTTTAAAAAGAAACATGGTTTGGAAACAAGTTAAAATCACATTTCTTGCGTCTTTAGCTCTTTTTAACGAGTCACACTTTCAGAGACAGTGCAAGATGTAGTGTACACAGTGACACTCCCTCCTCTTGTCAGTTTGTGTGCGCTGTCAGTCAGCTGTGTACACTGGTCAAAGAAACAGTACCCCCCACCCCCAAACAATTCCCCTGACTGAATATATAAATAACGTACTCTAGGCTGTCAGGAATAACACATATATAACATTTTGCATAAGCACTTTAATTAAATTCACTCATTGTTTAAAGTCCATATTTTTGTAAAGGTCTCCCACCACTGACTGTTTATCTTTTTTTTTATTTTTTATTAAAACCTCCTTCTAGCTCTATGGTGTATAATTTGAGAAGGTTGATCTTAATGGGATCACGAGAGTCAACACACTGACACGTGTTCACTTGTTCTTTTGCATATTTGTATATCAAATTAACTGTATTAAATGTTCTAAATATTATTGCTAGAAAACGCTATTGTAATGATTAATGATTTTTTTTTTTTATTATTTTTATTTAAACCTTTATTTTACCAGGAAGAAATCCATTGAGATTATTAATCTCTTTTACAGGGATGTCCTGGATAATATGCAAATACAGCAACACAGTCTTAAAATCAGTAACAGTAGTAAAATATTTACAACAAAAACATCCATTAATAAAACATAAAATACAATGCAAGTTAAAAGAAATCACAATTTAAGACACTTGGACATTACAGGTGCAAGATGTGACTAAAACCTAAACCTAAAAACCATAAAGATCCTTCATTCTCTCCCCATGCCTGATAGCAGCACTAGGCTGAAGTGGCTGCTAGCAGCATACTGAGATAACAATAAGTTGGTGCTAAAAGTGAAATTTCACTCCTGTTCATTTTAGCCTTTTGAATTTAAGTATTTCTTCAAAATAAACACAATATAAAAACATTTAACAAAACAACTGGAGTGGTCAGATATATAGTATTTCTGCTCAAAAAGCCATATTTGGAATAATTATTTGAAACACAGGTTTACTTAGATAAAGTGCACTCGATATGGTCTTTATGTCAATCTGTTCTTCTAATTATTTAGTGCATGCTCTGATCAAAGTCAGAGTTTCTTTGTTTGTCATTTGCAACACATGTGGTACATGTGGTGGAATGAAATTGTGTACCCAGGATTCCAGTTACATCCAACAATAAAATGTAAAAATTAAAAAAAAGTAATAACATCTAAGATATGAACTAAGAAAAACGTTAACTAAAAATACACTAAGCACTAATAGCATAAAAACAATATGCCAAACAGCAGCACGAACATGAGTCTGTGTGAGCAGATGAGTATGAATGAACACATCAACTTGAAACAGATCAGCAGCAACATGATGTGATTTTTCACAGTGATTATCCCGGTTAAAGATTCATGAGTCTAACAGCCTCAGGGTAGAAGCTGTTCCTCAGTCTAGTGGTTCTATACTTAATGCTCCTTAACCTCCTCCCTGAGGGGAGCAGGGCAAAAAGTGTGTGTGCTGGGTGAGTGGGGTCCTTCATGATGTGCACAAAATGTTATTTTATCTGTACAAAAAAGTGACAAACTATTACTGTGGGCTTCAGTTTATTAACATCATGTATTTATCCTTTAGTCGTATGTTTGTTGTGTGTGTGTGTGTGTGCGTGTGTGTGTGTGTGTGTGTGTGTGTGTGTGTGTGTTAGTCAGAGAAGTGGATCCTGCTCCTGTCACTTTCCCTCTCGTCGCCAAGGGCATCAGCAGGCTGCAGCCCTTTTGGCTGCCAACCGACCTAACCTTGACCCCCGAGGTCAATGCTCTCTTTGTGTGTGTGTGTGTGTGTGTGCGCGCGCGCGCGCATGTGTGTGATAGGATTTAACACAGCATATGTGCCACTGTGACCACTGGCTGATGGTCACAGTGGCACATGTGAAAAGGACCTTTTTGTGCATTCGCCTCTTGTTCACCGAGTGTATTTTTGTGAATATGTGCACACGTTTTAAACATGCATTTCATTTTGCAATGGGTCTGTGATTTTTTCATTTATTCTAAACGTCTGTGTCATTTAGTGTGTGTGTGTGTATGTGTGTGTGTGTGTGTGTGTGTGTGTGTGTGTGTGTGTGTGTCCTCCTGCCAGCAGGGATGCCAGATTTATGTTTTCCTTCACTGGGTGATATTAACACCTTCACTGCTGGATTCTCTCCATCCTAATATACCTCCATCTGACTACCCATATGTCACTTCCCTGCCCCCCTTGAACTCTCGCTCCTCTTGGGGTGTTTGTGTGTAGGCGTTTCTGCTCGTGCTAAACTTGTGTTTGATCGTGCCACTTTCACATATTTTTCTTGGGCAATTCATTATTTAAAAAATAAATTCATACATCATTTAGGCGTTAAAAGTTACTTGGTTGGTTTGTGGTAGCGGGGGGAGGGGGGGGGTTACTTTGTCTGACCCTGAACTGTCTCAGAGGATGTTCAAAGTTTTCATAGTTCCACAAATGAAAAGTGATTCTCACACAGACATGGATTCAGACAAAGGAAAACACAAACTGAAGAGTGTTGTTTGGAGCATAAGATCAATGTGACAAGCTAACTTCTTGTTCACACATGCGCATGCGCGCAGAATATCATAGAAGTCATCTCAAGAAACCCACTGCGACTTTTGGTTTAAAATATACTTGTGCGTATGTGTGTGTGCAGCCCTGTGTGTGTGTGTTCCGACCTATGAAGATGAGAGTAACAATAAGATAATTGCTTATCTTCCGACTAAAAGTGTGTTTGTGTGTAATCAGAAGTCAAGGTTTCCACTTCCTCCAGGGAGCCAATTAAAGCTCAATAAAGAACCTGGCAGACAGAGAAACCGAGTGTAAAGAACAAATAGAAAAGCTAGAGAGGAGGGAGGAGTGGTAGAAGGGCAGAGAGCAAGGGAACAAGATGGATGGATGTAGTCTGTGAAACAGAGAGGAGCGAGGCAGGGAGGTAGAGAGTGAACAATGGGAGGGGAGATGAATAGACGTGTCAGGAATAGTGGATGATTGGAAGGTAGAAAGAGACAAAATGATGTGTGTGTCGTCATGACAGTTTTAGGAAGGTGTTGCAAAGGAGGAAAACTCCTAAATAGGTCAATAAAGGGGGAACAGTGCGCTATCACCACCAGTTTGTGGGATCAGCCTGATACAAGTACAAATAAATGTCCCTAGCTCAGTGTTCACCGGGGATGCAAGGATACTTCTGTCAGTTGCAGAACTATGGATTTCAAGTATTGTAGAAAATGTTCAGGAATTCCTAGTAAGTAAAGCATTCTCAGACCTATTTGAAACTATGCTCTAACTTCCTGAAAAGTGCTAACCGTAGGTATAGAGATCATTTTATGTGTGTTACACACAGAATCTAAATAGAATAAAATGTCTTTCATAAACCAGTCAATTCGATTATAATGTGCTGTTTGGTATCATCGTCTGCCTTCCAACAAACACAAACCGATTATTTAAAACCGGGGTGTCCAATCCTGGTCCTCGAGGCCCATGATCTTGCATCTTTTACTTGTTTTCTTGCTCCAAAACACCTGATTCAATGGTTGAATTACTTCTTTGTGTTCTACAGAAGTCTGATAATCACCCTTTTATTAAAATCAGGTGTTTTTGAGCAGAGAAACATCTAAAGCATTATAGTTGCCCTCCAGGACCAAGACTGGACACCCCTGATTTAAGATATTGGGTATACATGTGAGTATGGGCATTGTACTGGCTTAAAGCTTGTACATGGGTTTTAAGTCTGTACGTCCAAAGCTGATGATGCATGTGCATTTACTGTATATTCAGACTATTTTTTGGGCCAGCTTCTACTCACGGATCTACAGTTTAACTACCCATTTCCAATAGGTGACGATAATGCAGTAGTTTGTCAACTGGTTAATCCTAAATGCATGTAGAAGAAAAAAGTTCAAGACAGTTTCTTATGGTTCGTAATGTCTCAAAATATTGGGCTGCATGCACTGTTGATGGACTTGGCACTGAGCTGTAATGTTACACAGGTCATTTGGTCAACCACATGCTCAAGCAGGTGGACGACCATAAAGTCAGCATGAAAAGGCAATTTCAAGTTCCTATAAAAACTAGACAGCCCTCTTTTTCCAAGAGCTGAAGGCCCAAGACAAACTTTACAAACATGAATGTGAGAAAACATCTTTTTCGTCATTTTGCTTTCCTCTAAAGAAAGTGGCCTGCATAGAATAAACTAATTCTGGGAATAACTAAAACAGTTTAGCGTTGTTTAAAAGGCATATATACAAACCGTAGTGTTTCAGAAACTATATTGTTTAGTTTTTACACGTCACATCTATGCATGCTCAAGAGGAAAAAAAGCAAAATTAAAATTAAAATATTCCCTGTAGACGTTTGGGCACAGTCTCAGTAAAATGGATGCTTTTGTTGCGTCTGGAACAGGATGTGTTAAAATATACATATCTATAAATAGTATAGCAACGGATGGTTAGACCGGCATAAAAGGTTTATTTTTGCATGAGAATTAACTCTTTCAATGACTGTTTTAATAATCCAGTCATGCAAATAAACTTGTGAATAAAACCCTCGGTCTTACATTCATAGCACATAAGTTTAGAAAGAAATGGCAATAAACCAGACTTGTGTATTCAAAATGCATATTTAGACTTTAAAGGTTATTTAATAAGGGGATTGTAAAAGTATACCAGCGCTAGACAGTCGTTAGCACAATTCACTTCACTAACATTTGGTGTCTCCTTCTCTTTACAATTTTTTCCAGGTGGGACCGACATTGTTTCATGTTTTATGGGTCAGAACCCAACAGTTCCAGTGTATCGGGGAGAGATCCAATCAAGGAATCTTGGCATGGCTGTAGAAGCTTGGAGCATCGATGGTAAGTGTGTGCAGAGTGGGTGAAAATCTTTAGACTTTGTTTTTCTTTTTCTCTTTGTTACTGTTTTAAAAACTGTTTGTTTGTATTAAACTGTAAGAAAGTTGCAATGTAGTTTATTTAAAAGAAGCAAAATTATGAGTGGCTGATATTTACATGTCGGGGCAATCTTCATGTGTTAAGAGAGTAACTTCAGCTGAAATGTTGCTGAAGTATAAACTGCTGCTCTTGGATAAATGTCTAGACAAACTACAGGAATTGTTCCCCAATAAATAACTATTTTTTTTTTACTTCTTCCTCTTATGTATCCATCCATCCTTCCATCCATCCATCCATTTTCTTCCGCTTATCTGAGTGTCGGGTCGCGGGGGTAGCAGCTTAAGTAGGGAGGCCCAGACTTCCCTCTCTCCAGCCACTTGGTCCAGCTCCTCTGGGGGAATCCCAAGGCGTTCCCAGGCCAGCTGAAAAACATAGTCCATCCAGTGTGTCCTGGGTCTTCCTCTGGGTCTCCTCCCAGTGGGACGTGTCTGGAACATTTCACCAGGGAGGCGTCCAGGAGGCATCCTAACCAGATGCCTGAGCCACCTCAACTGGCTCCTCTCGATGTGGAGAAGCAGCAGCTCTACTCTGAGTCCCTCCCGGATGACTGAGCTTCTCACCCTATCTCTAAGGGAGAGCCCAGACACCCTGCGGAGAAAACTCATTTCAGCCGCTTGTATCTGAGATCTCGTTCTTTCGGTCACAACCCAAAGCTCATGACCATAGATGAGGGTAGGAACGTAGATCGACCAGTAACTTGAGAGATTCACCTTTTGACTCAGCTCTCTCTTCACCACGACAGACCTGTACAGCGCCCGCATCACTGCAGACGCCGCATCTATCCACCTATCAATCTCTCGCTCCATTTTTCCCTCATTTGTGAACAAGACCCCAAGATACTTAAACTCCTCCACTTGGGACAGGACCTATGACCCGACCCGAAGAGGGCGCTCTACCCTTTTACAGCTCAAGACCATGGCCTCGGATTTGGAGGAACTGATCCTCATCCCATCCATGTCACACTCTGCTGCGAACCGCTCCAGCCAAAGCTGTAGATCACAACCTGATGAAGTCAATAGGACCACATCATCTGCAAAAAGCAGAGACGCGATCCTAAGGCCACCAAAATGGATCCCCTCAACACCTTGACTGCGCCTAGAAATTCTCTCCATAAAAGTTTTGAACAGAATCAGTGACAAAGGGCAACCTTGGCGGAGTCCAACTCTCACCGGGAATGAGCCCGACTTACTGCCGGCAATGCAGCCCAGGCTCTGACACCGGTTGTACCGGGACCTAACAGCCCGTATCAAAGGGCCTGGTACCCCATACTCCCGGAGTACCCCCCACAGGGTTCCCTGAGGGACGCGGTCGAACGCCTTCTCCAAGTCCATAAAGCACATGTAGACTGGTTGGGCAAACTCCCACGCACCCTCCAGGACCCTGCTGAGAGTGTAGAGCTGGTCCAGTGTTCCCACGACCAGAACGAAAACCGCACTGCTCCTCCTCTTGTGTAGCTGAATTTTAAAATCTTTCTTCTGCAGACTGTGCTGGTAAATCTCCACCACCAGAAAGAACCGAGGGCTAGTTTGAAGGGAACTTTGCAAGAACATCTCGAGATTATTGCTTAAATCTCAAACGTTGTCCTGAGGAGGGTTAGAGTTGTATAAAACCACACACTGAAGTGTATTAGGTGTTCTGTCATGTAAGGGGTGTACACATTTTCTATCTTTGTATGACTGCATCCAACTTTACTGTGTGTTGCCATAAACTAAATTTAATTACATTTTATTGTCTGAACAAGTTGTTTATGTGTGTCTGTGTGTCTTTGGGTGTTAATAGGCAAGCCAGTTTGGGGGGAGAGTGGAGAACTTGTCTGCCTGAAGCCGATCCCCTGCCAACCAACTCACTTCTGGAATGATGAGAACGGGAGCAAATATCATAAAGCTTACTTTTCTACGTTTCCTGGTAAACACAAAATTATACTCACGCAAAAGCTTACTATGTAACACAATCTACGTGAACATCAACACCCACATATACACAAAGACACTTCTTTGAGAGAAATTATTTTTTTGATAATATATTTTATTACATAAATGTTGACTCAGCATTGTATCAACACAAACTGCTGTGACTTCTAACAGTCACAGTAGTTTTTGTTTTTTGCAGTCAAACTACTTCCGAATAGTCTATGCCATAGGTGTCCAAAGTGTGGCCCGAGGGCCATTTGTGGCCCTTGCACTGATTTTGTGCGGCCCACAACTACAATTTAAGAATGGTATCATTTTGGCCAACAGGCTTAAGAGTTAGATGCAGTCTTTGCAAATTTGTTGGTAATCCTTTTTTTTATATAATGTTTAGATTTAACAGCAAAATGGATGAAAAACAATCTTCTCAAAATGAGCAAAATTAATCAAAATATAAACCTTTGGCTATAATATTTTTATTTTTACGTCAAGGTACAAAGCACCAAAAACCTTTACTGATTTCTACCAGAAAGGAAACTTTTGGATAATGATTCATAAAACTTGGCTAAATATTGCAGTTGATAAAATAATCAAGAGGGAAAGTGGACATTTTAAATGAATATAACATGGTATCATCTACATACGAGTTGATCAACTTGATCAAATCTTCTATGAATCTGTTGTGGCGACTGACAGCTGGACGGTTGTTCAGAACTTGGATCAGCCTTTTGGGCCGTCCATGTAAAAGACTGATTGACCCCCTTTTAAAAAGGACACTTAACTCAAATTACGCTTTTGTTGCTGAGAACAGACTACGATGAACTTCCCAAACACAAGAAAACAACAAACATAGACACAACAAGTCCAATAAATTAGACAATTTTTAATAAAACATATAAGCTTAGAGTTTATGATGCTTTTAATGTTTTGGATCTACAACAATTTAAAACACTCCATCTAAATTAGTAAACCTTTCTCCAAAATATTGTTCACGTTGAATTAAATTAACATTTTTGTGTAACACGAGTCCTTTCATCTCGATAGTTTTGGCCCACATATGAAAGTGTTTAGACACCCCTGGTCTATGCTGGTTTAATAAATAATATATCAAAACTTTCACCTTGATTGGGAATAGTGTTCAATGATTTTTGGCATTTGTAACGTTTGTACTTTGCAAAATAGTTAACTTTATTTACAAAAAAAAAAAAAAAAGAAATGCTTTGAAATCCATCAGTTCCTTCCAAACATGGTTCCCTGAAATCTACTTAAGCATATTTACTCTTTTTGTTGTCTAATGTGCAATTTAGACATAAGCTAGTCTTTTGCTTGTTTTAGCTTTTAGATACTGTATTGTTTTAACTTTAAATTTTCAGTTTAAGCTTCCTTAACAAATGTTAGCATGCATTTGGCATTCTCTAGTTAAATTATGATTTTTTGTTTCCCCTCCAGGGGTGTGGGCTCATGGAGATTACTGTAAAATCTACCCAAAGACCGGCGGCATTGTCATGCTGGGCAGGAGGTCAGTCGTCAACTGTTCACTAATAAATGTTCAGAATGAACATGATTTATTCTTATAACTGACTATTTAATTGGTCAGTACTTTTGGGACAGGTTTGTTAGATATTTAGGCATTTGTTTCTTGTAACTGAAGAGAAATTATTATTATTATTTTTTTTTTTTTGCTTGTTCAGAAAATCTGTGCAATCAACTTACATGACTACAATGAAGTCGATTAGTGAAATATACCGTATTTTCCAGGCTATACGTTGCTCCAGAGTATAGGTTGCATCGGTCAAAAAATGCCTCATGAAGAGGAAAAAAAACATATAAGTTGCTTCGGAGTATAAGTCGCATTTATTATGTGTCGCCGCTGACCCCTTTCACCCGGGAAATGTGGGCCTGTGTCATGCCAAAAAGTTGATTAGCTGCCAAAAATCGATTGGCGGGAGCATGCACGGGAGGACTCGCTGTTGCAGTTCTTCCAAATTTAACAAGATTAACACCTAAAAACAATTATTTGTTTGCACCTGTCAGCAGCCGTGCCGGGGGCGAGGGGGCCCCGCCCCTCCACTGCCAGAGCGGGGAGGAAGGGCACAGCGAGGCACGTTGTCCGCAGCCCCGGGAAGCAGCGAGGTGCGGGCGGGGTGATGCTGTAGAGCTCGTGGCTGGAGCCGTGAGCCACCTTCGCCTCTGTAGTATATAGTGCCGCTCACTAATGCATGAATGGGTTGTGATCTGTGGTAGCGGAGTGACATGTAATGGGATGAGACCAGGAATGGTGCTGATGTTATGATGCTAAGGTGTTCTGAAGATGATGGTTAATAAATACAGTTCGTGATGAGTCTGTCAAGCGTCCGTCTTCTTGTAGTAAAAGGAGTAAGTGAACATATATTACAGTCCCCGGAACCTTCCAGGATGACCCAGGGCCTCGCGGCGCATCACCGCGGAGGATATGTGCGTGATATGACCTACGGGGGGAAGGTCCCCCGCGTGGAGGAATCCTCCACCGCCGAGCGTCCGTCCCTTCCACCGGGTTCAATCCCCAGGCAGACTGCACGGACCCCATCCATTTACAAACTTCCTTTCTGCTGCTAGATTACTGTTTTGGGCTGCATATTTTATTACCTGCAGTTTGTTACCTGCAGAATAGGATTTTCTTTTGGGGGGCATTTTACTTGTGTTAAGTTTTTCTCAGTTGTCTCTAAGTTAATGTTTTTTTTTTGTGGGGGAGCAGTAGAGGAACAACATATAGTTGTCAAAAGCCTAGAGGGCCCTCTCGCGGCTACAGATGGTAATGTTTACTTATTGCTTCATTTCAGTATGAATGAACATTTAACACGTCAGTCAAAAATGTGTCATGAATAGGGGGAACAAAAACGTATATAAGTCGCTTCGGACTATACGTCGCCGGACTGGCCAACTATGACAAAAGAGCGACTTATAGTCCGGAAAATACGGTACTTAAACTACCACTGAACTAGGAAGTAAACTGAGAATATAGAACTATATAGGTAAAGAAGAAAATAAAAGAAAAAGCTTAGCAATTCTATGTAAGAGAGTTCAGATACTGCTACCAGAAAGAAACAATTGTTTGATGTGTGGCAGGAAAACTTCATGTTGTATATCTTGGTTTCTTTAACTTGTGTTTTGTTACTGCAGCGATGGAACACTGAACCCTAACGGAGTTCGTTTTGGAAGCTCTGAGATCTACAACATAGGTAAATATTAAAGATGGAATGAGTTGTAGTAGTAGCACAGGGTGGTAAGAAAGCTTAAAGATTTTTACGAATGAAGTTGAGACTTGAGTCTCTTTTCGTTGGTGAATAATCATTATCATAGTCATGCAATTATTAATATTTTTACTTTGATCATAAAGTAAGAAAAGCAACATTTCTTCCTTCTACAGAAAGGCTGTTTAATTCTGAGTCTGTTCTTTGAATCTCTTCTTTTTCTCTTGGCTTCACACCTCCTCTTCTATCAGTGCTTCTCATCTGCTCTTCTCATTTTTGATTCGTCTCTTCTCCCGTCTCTTTTCTTGCAGTGGAGGCTTTCGAGGAAGTGTCAGACAGTCTTTGTGTCCCTCAGTACAATGCGGACGGAGAAGAGCGAGTTATTTTGTTCCTAAAGATGGCACCCGGAAAGCTCTTCTGTCCAGAGTTGGTGACAAAGATTAAAGGAGCCATCAGAAAAGCTTTGTCTGCCCGACACATCCCTGCCTTGCTGCTGGAAACCAAAGACATTCCTGTAAGACAAATATGAATATCAGTCAGACGTGAATAAGCCTGTTGCATTGCTTAGAGCTGCAGTGGATTGATTGACAGCTGTCTTTTCATCTCTGCAGTACACCATCAGCGGTAAGAAGGTGGAGGTGGCTGTGAAACAGGTTATTGCCGGACGTGAGGTGGCACAGAGAGGAGCGTTTTCCAACCCCGATTCACTGGATCTCTACAAGAACATTCCTGAGCTGCAGAACTACTAGAGATGAAACTGGACAGAGCGAGTGGAAAAAAAAAAAAAAATTGCAAATCCCAACCTTCTAGAGTTTATTCCAGCTTATCTTTTTAATCTTAGTTAGAAAGAGCTGTGCAGAAACATGCAAATTCTTCAAAACATTCTGATTTTTGTTCAGGAAAAAGGGAGAGAAGTTAAACTAATATCTGTTTAATTAGCTGATGGGAATGAAGCACGGGCAACCCTAAAAAATAGCATGAGGTGCACTGGTCCGTAGACTTGCTTTCAAAAACATCATCATGCCGCTCTTAGTCAGCCGTGTTGTAACGTAAACCAAATGAAACTTTGGGTGTGACTGTGAATAAGCGTCATCTCTAAAGCAAGCAAAGAAACGGTTAAGCGAAGCATCGAGTGCTTTGCTTCAGGTTCACAGTTTGATTTTATCTCTCCGCATCCTCTGCTTCTAACCCCAAAGCCATTTCTGTGCGATCAGAATATAATCTGTGGAGATGTGAAGAAAAATATACACAGAGCAAGTTGGATTAACACCCGAGCTGCGGCTCATATCACCATATCATCACTATATGGTGCTTTATCGTTTGTATGTGCGTGTCTGAGTGTATATACAGTATATATGATTAAGAACATAAAGGTTAATGTATATTTTTGAACAGTGAGGTTGAATTTATAATTGTGTGTTTGAAGGTAGCTACCCAAACTCAACCAAAGTGGCTTTAGGGATACAGAGGGATTTAGCTACAAAGCTAACGTTTGCTCGACTGAACTAGACATGCTAAACACATTTAAAGTATTTTGATTTTAGATTTATTGTCAAAACTAAACCTTTATCCAGTCGAGACCAACACTACGAGCTATTGTTGAAATGGTGGCTGTGTTGAGTTAAAGATTGATCTGACAGGACGTGAATGTTCACTTCATCACAGCAGCCTGTCAGCTATGGATGTATAGTCATTACCTTACCTACAGATAACAGCTGTTTTAACCTTTTAAACAGGAAAAAGATTAATATTTTAAAAATTGCTCTACATGCATGGTAAAACCTCAAAGAATGGAACTAAAGTGGGTTTGGTCATTTGCAGATTTGTTGGTCAGAATAAGGAACAGTAGTTTCATTTACGGGTTAAACATGACTGATGTGACCTGCTCACATGCATCTGATACATGGGTCATAAAATCAGTAAAGTTTTATGCTTTTTTTTAAATTTCGATTACATTTTAAGACCTACATTCTCTGCTCTTCAGTCACATTAGTTTCTTCAATTAACTTAATGTTTCAGAAAGTGTGTGTGTCCTGTGGAGTGACCTCAACTAGCGCCGTACAATAAAATCAATGTCTTGAAGTCGGGATCCTCTTGTTGATGCTGTACAGTATGTATCGGGTCATTAACAAATGCCTTGTTTGAAAATAAAGAACTAAAAAGCCCCATAGGGTACATGCTGCACTGCTTTATTCATGAAAACAAAAAAACTGGGATTATACTTGGTCATCTTTGCGCTTTAAGACACGGTATTTATGGTAAAACATTAATTGTACTAGTCTGCTATGTATTGTGTTGTTGTTTTTTAAATTTAAAATAAAGTGTATTATATTAGGCCTAAAACTAATGGGGTGTTAAATGTTTGTTGTTCTTACATGGTCACTTTTATGGATTATATGTCTTTTTATTGTTGTTGTTTTTATTTTAAAGATAATTTGACAAATGACTGGATCTTTTCCACCGTATTTAGTTCATTCACATGACAAAATGATGATTATTGTCAAGGTCACAGGGAGTCAAACTTGGGTATAAAAGGGGATCAAAATTAAAAACTTGCTTCAAGCCATGGGCCAGTTTTAGTCGATTCGTTAACTCAAGTCAGACCCGACGTCTTCTCTTTGGTGCCGGTTCATCAACAAAAGTTTGATCGGCCTCATATGACGTTCTTTGTTGCTCTTTCAATGCCAAAATCCATGATTACTGAAATTCAAACAAAAACATCTGCACGAAAGAAGTATTTTAGTTTTATTAAGCAAAATGAGAAGTGATAAAATTATTCTAAATGTAAAATATAATCTTGGGAGGCTGGATAAGATGTTAATAAGAGCCAGATTTGGCTCGCGAGCCTCCAGTTTGACACGTGATTTAGGCCGTTGCGTGTTTGAGCTTATATTTAAAAACATCTTTCAGTTTTGTTTTGCAAACCTTTAAATCATTTTTGTTTCCAACTGGGTGAATTTTCTGGTAGACAATTTTGAAATGCCGAATAAAATGAGACCAGTCTGAAAGCAAACGTTGGGTTCCAAAACTTCCAAGCCTTTAATTCTCGTTGGAGATTTACGACGTCCATGTTGTTTTCCAAAGATAAACTGGGAGACTTTATTCTTGGCTTGCTAGACATTTCATGCCCTGTGAGCCGCACACGAGTTTAAAGTAAATATTTGAAGCTTTTTAGAATATTTACCACTGAATTCTAACTCATCAATTACCAGTGTTATTATTATTATTATTATATATATTTTTTGTAGCTGCCAAATTCTCAACCAAAAAAGTTTAATCTTATAATATATTTTCCACTAACTTTCAGCCTCGGGTTAGATGAAGCTACAACCAGTCACTGCCGCTGATTGATGAAGTGAAAAGTACTGATTTCCTCATAATGACAACAGGAAAAACATGAAGCAACTGAAGATCCTCTTTAAATTTGACCTTACTGAGGAAAAACGAACTACGGGACTTGGAGTGACTTTGACAAAGGCCAAACTGGAATTATTAAATACTGTTCATTCATTCATTCAACCTTTATTTAAACAGATAAGTCACAATGAGCTTCGAAGACTCATTTACAAGTGAGACCTGTTTGGACAGACAAGTGGTGAAAAATGACACAGGGTTTGGAGACAAAACAAAATCGTAACATGCTCTTAAACGTTGGTTGAAGGTCAACAGCGTGATAATGAAAAAAAAATCACACACGAGCACATAATGACGCCGACAGCCCATGCACGGGGGGTGGGGTGGACACAAAGACAGTGAGCATGTCCCGAGACCACACACAGGCACTGTATTTAAAGAATCTCCACAAGCGCAGCTTTTTAGGGATGCTGGTCTGCAGTGAACAAAACCTACTGAAAGTGAAAAATGTAAAGCGACACCCAGCTCATTGATGCACAAAGCAAGCAACAGTTTGTTCTACCAATAGAAACACCTGTTTTGGGGATTTCAGTATGATAATTTAACCGAGAAAAAAAAGGTTTTAAAGTGTTTTTGTCCCATTTTTTTAACGAGTCTGTTGCTTATCATCATGGCACAATTCAATTCAACCTTTATTTATATCGGTTAGTCTCATGGAGTCCTGACTCATTTACAAGAGAGACCTGTTTTGAACAAAGAATGATGACAACAGTAGACAATCATTAAAAAAAAACATAAAATGAAAATGAATGGGAGAAATTTTATAAAAAAAAAAAAAAAAAAAAAAACAGCTCCATTATTGTAAAGCGATATAAAATACTACAAACAGGAACATGTCTGCGTTGATTTTTGCCATGAACTTAGCAGTTGTTTAAAGTCCATTAGTGAGGTCAAAATTGACAGCTCCAGGTCTTTTTGCAAGGTATTCCAGGAAACAGGAACAGAGTAAGAAAAGGCCCTTTTGCTAAATTCAGTCTGCACTGAGAGGACGCTGCAGGTAATAATGTCCTGAGAGCACACGCTGTAGCTGCAATAACGCAGTGACATGTAGGAGGAGATGTACGAAGGCAACAGACCAAGAAGTGATTTAAAGGTGAAAATGTACCAGTGAGAGTCTGCGTGAAGTCAATGATGACCAATTAACCAGTGAATACTGGGTGCAGTGATGAGTACGGTAGTTAAAGCCAGTTATGAATCTTAGCGCACCGTGATAGACAGCATCCAACATTTGCAGGGTGCTTGTAGGAGCATTCATGTAAATAATGTCACTATAGTCAATGGAGGGAAGTAAAGTCACAGTCACAAGGTGTCTCCTAGCATTCAGAGTTAGACAGAATCTATATCTAAAAAAGAAATTTAGTTTAACTTTCAGTTTCTTTACCTAGTTTTACAAGGGTAAAACAAGGGTGCACTAGTACAAGGACAATCAAAGGTTTTAAACATGTTTGGGTGAGAAACAATGGAGCCTGAGAATCTTCAAAATAAATTTGAGTTGTTTATTCCACCTTTAGATACAACTTAACCATAAGTAGACTGTACTGGATAAACAAATCTGACCCGTGAATGTCACGCATCTCAATTTCCAGGACTTCAAGAATGTCTTTCAGAGGTTCCCAGAATCCAAAGATGCTCATAATGTTGTTTGATCTAATAAAAATCTCCTCTGATATTAATGCTTGCAGCACACAATTACCTCGGCACATACAATTTAACTTTAAGGCAAAGAATAAAAAAAAAAACAGCTCAAGCACAGGAAAAGCAGACAAAAATGTTTTCTGTGTGAATGTGTAAGGCATGTTTCACGCCTGCGTAGTTTTCTGCAAGTGTAAAAGCCACTCATTTTGATAGATGGCTCTTTCAGGAGTAAACTTGGCGGTTTCAAAGAACTCTGTGCCCTTTACACAGTAAGTGTGGACACTCAGACCTGTCACTCAGTTGAATTTGTAGAATAAGGACCAAAATAGAAAATGTACAATTTGGGCAGAGGCTCAAATCCTGTCGATCTGTTACAGAAAAGTGCAGGAAGAGAGAAAGACGGGGGGGATCTGGATACAGAAGTGAGCAGTCAGGGGTGAACAGCAGGTGGCAAACTAAACAGATTGCCAAATTCACAAATAACAACCATGATGTGCCTTTTAGGCCAAAAGAGTCGCTGTGGTTGCACGATCTAGCAGAGTACTCACAAAACAGAGGGCTTCAAAAAACAACTAGTGTTTTTTGTAGCACTTAAATGAGGTTAATCATTAAATCAGTTTAAATGTAGTCAGTACCTGATCTTAGACCAGTGGTGGACAAAGTATTCAACTCTAGTACTTAAGTAAAAGTATACTGATGGTCAAATCTTACTCAGCTACAAGTAAAAGTTGCTCAGTCAAAAGTTGACTCAGGTTAAATTACTGAAGTACTTATTTTTGAAAATACTTCAGTATTCAAAAGTACATGCATTTAAAAATACAAATTACATTTTCTAATTTCAGAACATCGCTGTACTGTGTTGAGTGATTTTACAGAATCTTGTAACTCTCTGATACCACCTGATGATGTACTGACATGTAGAACAATACATGTTCTACATGCATTTTACATGTCTGTGGAAAGTCATGATGCACCTTCAGTCTTTTTCCTCAGCTTCTGTATTCATACAGCATATTGTGTTTGTGTGTAAAAGTGCATTTGTCCACAGCAACAACTTAACACAGGAGAGGAAACAGTAACATTGATAAATGAAAGTACAGCCATACTTATATGAAGTGCCATTTGTAAAGTTACACAGTCAAAAATTAACAGCAATATTTTGGTTTATTTAGCCTTTCATAAGAAAAATATTTTTTTTCGAAGTCATATTTTCACAATGTTATTCATACATTTATAAATGTCATAATTCCAAACTAAATATTTATTTTACAAGTTTAGTTTACAAAATAAATATTTAACTTGCAAGTTAAATATTCAGTTAGAAAGCTAAATATGTAGCTCCACACTAAATATTTATTTTACAAACTAAATGTTTATGTCCAAGCTAAATGTTTAATTCACAAACTAAATATTTAACTTGCAAGTTAACTATTTAGTTAGAAAGCTAAATATTTAGCTCCACACTAAATATTTTGTTTTCAAACTAAATGTTTATGTCCAAGATAAATGTTTAATTCACAAACTAAATATTTAACTTGCAAGTTAAATATTTAGTTAGTGAATTAAATATTTACGTATAAATTAAATATTTAATTTAAAAGCTAAATATTTATTTTCAAAACTAAATATTTATTTTCCAAACTAAACTTTTTAATTTCTAAGCTGAACATTTAACTCCTAAACTAAATCATCAATTTACTAACTAAATATTTAGCTCCAACCTAAATATTTATCTTCCAAGTTAAACATTTAATTTCCAACATAAAGATTTAATTTGCTAATAAATATTTAGATTGGACCTAAATAGCAAGTTAAATATTTAGGTCCGAGCTAAATATTTAGTTGAGAAATCAAATATTTATTTTTTTAATGAAATATTTAGCTAGGAAAATAAATATTTAGGTCCGATCTAAATATTTAATTTACAAATTAATGATTTAATTTAGGAATTAAATGTTTAGCTTAGAAATTAAATGTTTAGTTTTGAAAATAAATATTTTACTTGGAAATTAAATATTTAATTTACACCTAAATATTTAGTTTACTAACTAAATATTTAACTTGCTAGTTAAATATTTAGATTGTAAATTAAGCATTTAGCTTGGACATAAA